TCCAGGGGCAAACCCTAATTTTTAGGGTTTGCACCCTATTTAAAGACCTTAAGTCCCTCAAGTCTGTTACCCTCTTAGCCTCCACTGCCCTTTTAGTGTAAATCTCGAACCATAACCTTCTTGAGTGCATATTTGAGCTTACCTTGAGTGTTTTGGTGTTCTTTGATGGTTTTGAAGAAGAAGGAAGTTTGGGAAGAAGCAAATGAGAAGAAGGATCTTGTAGATCCAGAGTTGGTGCACCATTTCTAGCCTATTGAAGGTATAAATTCTGAAACTTGATCATTACAAGCTTAGATCTAGGTTTAGGATAGAATATGGCATCTTTTGGTCCTATAGCTTCGTTTCTTGGAGTATGAGTAACTCTAGGCCATTTGAGCTGTCCTTTTGGACTCTTGGAAGTGTTGGAGTCATAAAAATCGTATTTTGGAAGTTAAGATTCATCCATGCATGTGTTAGTAACCTCCTAAGTTAGTTAATGGGCTTAATTCATAGTTTGAGCCCCAACAATGCATGCAAAAGCATAAAGTTTGCAACTTTATGGCTTAAGACGTTACTTTGAGCTTGGATCTAGGTTTTGGATGTTAGGGCTTAAGGGATTAAGTCATGGGAGCATTTTTGGTTGACTGATCAGTACGTTGGGCGTACTATAGAGTAGGTTGCGCGTACTCCGTCAGTGCCCCGATTCCGGATGGTCATCAGCGTACGTTGGGCGTACGAGCCGTGTACGTTGTGCATACGCAGTCTGTGAGCTTAGATGACTTTTGGGCTCGATTAGTGTTGGGCTTTTGGACTTGTTTAGGTTGGGCCTCAGGCCCATCCGTTGTAGCAGGACATTTTTTGGCCTAAGGCCATGTGAGGTGTACTTAGGCCATATTTGGCCTTAGAGGCCTTATAGTTGGGCTTGGATGCTTTTTTGGACTTTGTATGGATTTGGGTCTTGGAGGGAGGGAGGCCCAATAAGGCAAGGGTAAAGAAGCCCTTTTTGCCTTAAGTCAAGAATTAGGGTTTCGACTTTCGAGTTAGAATGTGTCCTAATTTCTAATTAGGATTTTATGCTTGTACGTTAGGAAGAGGATTCCGCGAGTCATCCGTCGAGTGCGATTTGATATCTTCAGTTTGAGGTGAGTCTTCCTTCGCAATATCTGTGGGTCGAAGGCACCAATGTCGGCCCACTAGTTTATGATGTAGTGTGATGATTGTCTTTGTGACAATTTTCAGTTATGCATTTATTTGCTTGGTGACTTTGTGATTCCGGTTATGATATTATGTGCTAGTAGTGGGGAGTGAAATAGACCCGGTATCCGGTTGAAATAGACCTAAGGGGATTGCAAGCACCCAGATATGCTTGATAATATCCGGTTGAAATAGACCGAAGGGGGTAGGCAAGCACCCATATATGCTTGATAGTATCTAGTTGAAATAAACTGAAGGGGTAGACAAGCACCCATATATGCTTAACAGTATGTTTGTTTAGTATGTGGTATTTTGGGGGAACTCACTAAGCTTTGTGCTTACAGTTTTCAGTTTATGTTTCAGGTACTTTTAGTTTGAAGGGGAATGGTCCGACCTGATCGTACGGCATCACCCTATGATTTCCACACTTAGTGATTTTGGGAATTTGTACTCTGATAACATGTTACTATGATACTCTTTTGACTATTTTGATATTAGTGTCGTGTGATTTGAATGAAATTAAAAACAAAAATTTATCCGTACTTTGGGGTGTTACATAGCAGATATATAACATCGAAGTTGTCAAGGTTATAGTTAGTTATTGAACTTTTATGGGTGTTTTATTTTAGTCATTATACTTTGTTTAAGCTACTATTGGTCACTGAATTTTGTTTATTTTTTCATTTTAGTCGCTCTATTTTTTTTATTATCATTTATAACAATTAAAAAAAATTACTATTTTTTTTATTTTTTCCACAACTGAACTTGTTACATCAATTATTTAGAATAAATTATATGAATAATTCTTGTGATTTAGGGTAGAATGCACATTTAGTCCTTAACTTTTTTAACTCGAACGCTCACAATGACTTCAAAAAAAGACTATTTCGCTATTATCCACCTCATTGCTCTTGTCACTGGTAGAAACGCACCCAATCATCATCGATAACTATTTTACGTTAGGTGACCCACAGAAAGTCTTCGTATCGAATGACCCAAAACAGAAAATATCATAGTACATATGAATTAACTGAAAACACTAACTAGTCTACTTCTTCTTCCAAAAGCCGGATTCAGGGGATTTAATCATCCTTCAACACACAAAGGCTATGTTTTGTATGAAGCAATTAAAAACATTAAACATGCATGCTACCTTAAATCACTAGGATTATTCATATAATTACTCTAAAATAATTGACGTAACAAGTTTAATTGTAGAGAAATGGAAAAAAATTATAGCTTTTTTTAATTTTTTTTATAAATGATAATAAAAAATAGAATGACTAAAATAAAAAAAATAAAAAAGTTCAGTGACCAATGACATCTTAAACAAAGTATAATAACTAAAATAAAACACTAAAAAAAGTTCAATAACTAATTATAACATTGACAATGTTATACACTGGTTATCAGCGGTTAGAGTGACCAAAATGACAAAAAAATAAACAAATTCAGTGATTCATGGTAGCTTAAACAAAGAATAATGACCAAAATAAAACATTCAGAAAAGTTCAGTGACTAAAAATGACCTAAACTCTTTTAAATACTATTTTTTTGATAAATTATTAACTTATTTGAAATCGCTTATTATATGTATAAATCGATTGACATTTCTGCCACTTTTTAAACCTTTAAAAATCATATGAACAACGGCAAGGAAGAAAACCCAATAATGAAGTAACCAAAGGCGGTAGCTTCACAAAAGCCCAACGAAGCAAAGGACCTAAAAACAACCCCTAAAAAATAGTGTGGCTAAAGTTAAAGAAAAAGAAGTTTTGTGAGAAAAGTAGAGGCTAAAGTTAAACAAAAGGAAGTTTTGTGAGAAAAGTAGAAGAAGGGAAAACCTTACTGTAGGTAAGGCTCCCCAAAAATAAGTATATACATTATTATAGCGTCGTTGGTCTTTACTTTTTATGACTGGCGACCAATGTACCAATTTACTTATTTAGCATGTTTTTTTTGTTTTAATATATGTATAAGCAGATGTTATCAAACATTAAACAATAAGTTTTGAGTTTTGACAATCATATAAAATAAAAAATAATTTATGTGTTAGGTTTTGACATCACATAAAAAGTAATCCAAGATTTTTTTTTCTTAAACCACATTTTAATATCATATAAGTTAATAGCCACTTTGACATAGAAGAAAGATCACATAAAAAGTAATCCAACATTTTTTTCCTTAAACCACATTTTAATATCATACTATAAGTTAATAGCACATAATTTTTTTTTCTTCTAAATAAGTAATCATCTAGAAGGTTTTTTGCGTGGGCATTTAGGATGAGGATTGAATAAATAGAAATGGGTCCAAATTGGTTTACCCATTTATTCAATGAACACACAAGCAGACAGACAAGGGTAGTAAATCGAACAGTTTGATTTCTATTCAAAGGAGAGAGAGAGAGGATAATTCTTTTATTTTAATGCTACATATTTGATGGAGTAAATTTATATAAGATCAAAATGTATTTAAAGTGAAAATTTTATTGATTTCATAATGTTTAATATGATTTGATAGCAAATGTAACTATGTCCGACCGTATTATGTACTATATTGGACAACAATAAATACGGTTATGCAGGTTTGAATTTAGAGGACAGTCTTTTTTTTTTTCCATTAAGAAATTTATATAGAAAAAAAATACTATTTATGTTTCGGACTAAATGAACTATTGGACTAAATGAATTAATATGAGTGATAACCCTGTGATGGAAACCTAATGATTGAAGAGTGAAATTTCATACAAAAAGGTTTCAAATCCTAATACAACTAAAATTGCCAAAGTTTTGTGATTGAGCTCCCACGTAAACCTTGAGACAGGTTAAGTGAGCTGCTGATATGATTTTTTTTTTAAATATGAACGGTAAAAAGGAGAATTTGAATGATAACAACTAAAATAAAAATAGAAATTCAAATGCTTATGAAAATACAAAAGAAATTAAATTCAAATATTTATCAATAGAACATGTGGATGACATCCAAGACTCATTGAAATAGACCCAAGAAACTGAAACCACTATTCTATATATGTTTTCCATCAACTCATTCGTACCAAATGAAACACCAACAGCATAACAAAAAGAAAAAGATAAAAAAAAAAAAACCAATGCACTAGATAACTTAAGAAGCATCTAGAATTTGCCATCACATGGGCAAACATGAGAAACTACACAGAATTTTCAATGCGAACTATGCATTTTCTTATATACTCGTAAAGTACACTACAAGAAAATTTCGATTTAGCTACGGAAAAATTCCATAGCAAAAACATGAAATTCCGTAGCTAAAGCCAAATAACTACGGAATTTGCTACGTAAATTTTCAATTAGACTCCGTAGCTTTATTTCTTGTAGCAAACTGTTTAACTACGAAATTATAATTCCGTAGCAATTTTGCTATGATAGTTTCTACGACATCTATCCGTTGCAATTTGAGTTCCATAGCATTTCCGTAGTAAATTCCGTAGCATTTTTTCATAGCAAATTCCGTAGCAATTTTTCCGTAACCAATTCCGTAGCAATGTTTCCGTAGCATATTCCATAGCAATTTTTCCGTAGCTAATACCGTAACGATTTTTCCATAGCCAATTCCGTAACAATTTTTCCATAGCAATTTTCGTAGTAATTTTTCCGTAGCAAATTCTATAGCAATTTTTCCGTCGCTAATTCTGTAGCAATTGTTCCGTAGTTAATTCCGTAGCAATTGTTTCATAGCTAATTCCGTAGAAATTGTTCTGTAGCCAAATCCGTAGCATTTTTTCTATTGGAAATTCCATAGCACTTGTTTTGTACCATTATTTTATATAATTCGGTTATTGAATTCGACTATTTATATCAATTTATAAAAATACAATTAATATAAAACCAAAAGTAGTATTTCTATAGAAACTATAATAATATCCAATACATCGAAATGCTACAAATTAAACATAAATTGTTATCTGATACATAATGTTATCATCAAGCAACTTGGAAGGCATAATAAAATCCCACACCAAATTGACCAATCAAATTGTTGTCTGAACCATCATCTTTGCTATTCTGTCAAATACAACCGTTAGTGCAAGTATATTATTTATAATTCTCATAATAAAATATTTATATATGTTAATAAAATCATCTACCTTGTATGGAAATTAGCAATTTTTCATTTAAATTTTCAATTAAGATTCTTAGCTTTGAAGCTCAAAACGGCCTGGTTGGGTCATCGAGCGGTGTTCCACGTAAGATAGCTTCCTTCCTAAGCCTCTCTCTTTCTTCAAGTTCTTATTCTCTTTTCCTCTGCCTTTCAGCTATTTCATCCAACTTCGCCCTCTGTTCAGCCTCCTCTTTCTTGCGCCTTTCAGCCTCTAAATCCCAAACAAACAAAGTACAGCAAAAATAGATATTGATTTTTTCAGCTTTACATAAACTACATTTTTAGACCTAAATAATATTTTTATGCAATTTTGGTCCCAAAACAGTTTTATTGCAATTTCAGTCTTTAATGACGCTCTTTTTAACGTATTTGAGGTTTTTGCAACGTTTATTTGTTTAGTATTGCCTATTTTTGCAATGTTAGGCCAAAAAAGCAAATTTGGTCCTTATTTGAGGTTCTTGTAACAAGTATGGTCCTTCTCCATAGTAAAAGGGCTCTTTTTGGCCCCTAAGTTAATCAGAATGTTTCCAATTTTGGTCATTTTACTTGAAAAGGAAGGGACGAGCCAAAATTGCAAAATATAATTTACAAAAAGAAAAAGTAAAAAGTAACCTTCACGTTTGCGGGCTTATTCTTCCTCATGAAGCTTGTTGAGCCTTTCTTTTTCAGTTTTCAAATAAACAACATTTTCCCTTTTAGGTCCCTTTCCTCTTTTCGTGCCTTGAGGATTTGGCCAAGTCTTTCCTCTCTCTCAGCTCTCATTCTATCATACTCTGCCTTTCGCTTGCTCACAACTTTTTCCTCAAGTTCCATCTTTGCACATACATGAATATTTTATAAGAAAATATGACAAGATATTACATATAAATTACAATAAAAAATACAATACAGACCTTATGTTCCATAACACGAGCAAGTCTATACTTCTCCTTCAAATCTCCTTCTGACGCTCTCTGCTCAGTTCAACCTCAAGCTGCATGCAAAAAATAAATTAGCAAGTAAACTTGGGCATTTACATCTTTTTTTATTTTACAAAGTAAGTAGATTACCTGTTGTTCGTGTTCATGGCGGAGTTTCTCTTCAGCCAAACATCTTTGGAAAGTAGCTTCAATGAGAGGTGCAGCCTCTTCCCTTTTGGCTCTTTTAAAATGATCCATGGTCTTGATTAGCTTTTGCATCTTCTTTTCCATTTCCTGCCTCTCTCTAACTTGCTCCTGCATTGCCAACTCCATCAAGGATTGCTTCATCACCTTCTCCTGTAATGTCACAACAGAAACAACCAACAATCATCAGCATGAAAAAAGGACCAATCTTTCTTCTTTTCTTTTACTTTACTTACCCCTTGTAGGGTGTCAGATTCAAAACCCTTGAGAAAAAAAAAAACAAGTAGACAATATAAGTATAAAAAAATAAAAAAAATAGAATCAACAAAATTATGCAAATTAGACTCACCAAGTCACCAAATATAATTGCACCTTCATGTGGTCAACTTTCATAGCAATGAAATTATGCTTGACAGCATCAACAGATTTATTAAACTCTTGAACAAGATTTATTAAACAAAAATCATGTTCCTTCACTGTCACACAAGGGGTATTATCGTCCTTTGTAAACCCATGTAAATCATGTTCAAAGAGAATTTTCTCAGAGTCACCTCCCCAAGAAGCAAGCACTTCCAGAATGAAATCGTTTCTCCATTGGATAGATGCATAAAAATCTTCTGCTTCATACTTCCCACCAATCCCTTACTTGAATCACTGAGGCTGTCAAATTCTCTGTTTTATTCATTTTCTGAACCTGATATGCTTGATATATCATAATCTTTATAAAGATTACGCATACAGAAACAAAGTAGAATATCAGATGCTATACTATTCTCAGAAACCAGACTCTTGGAGAGGCATAATACTGAGAATTTTTTATTGTATTCAAGTAATTTTAAAGGAAAACTTACACAATTTTAATCAGTAACACAATATTTGGCTTAAACAAAAACCATGTTACATACTCTGTTCTGTTTCTCGCATTCAACTCTTGAACAAGATTTATTAAACAGATTATACTAGAACATCGCCGAAGAAATTACAAATTATATCGTTATAACGACAACTTAGTAGGCAGAATTCAATTCCTATTCAATGTGCTTTGAATAAAAAATCGATTGTTTAACAATTTTAACACCAATCCATGTAAAACCCTAAGTCAATTGGCTTATTGGACTACAATTGAAGTAAGAGAGAGAGAGAGAGAGAGAGAGAGAGAGAGAGAGAGAGAGTACGATTTTAGGTTGAGGGAGGTGAGAATTGAACGGTTGCTAGACTGCATCTCACGGACGTCCCTTCCCTCCGCCATTTGATCGAACCGTTTCTCATTTGAGATCAACACCCTCGCTGCACAATCACATGTCGCCGTTTCCTTTAAGATCCCTAATTACACCGCAGATGACTGAGATGTTCGGATCAACTTCGCCACCGAGGTCATAGATACTCCTTTTCATGCGTGATCGCCTTATGCTGCTTCCAAATGTGAAAATGTGATACGTATGATATGATTTGGGGAAAATTATGCTGCTTCCACCGAAGTCAAAGAGAGAAAACGAGGGAACACCGAACGGGGTTACTGCGATGATTTGGGCAAAAGTAGCTTAAGTAAAAATAAATAATGAGACGTAATATATATAGTTTTTATTTAGGTAATTAAGAAAAAATCATAACTTTTTAAATTATGATGATATCATTTTCTTCTTTTGTTTTAAGATTTTTACTAGTTTCCCTGTAAAATAATTTTTTATATTTTGCTACGGGAAAGATATTATGTAGCTATTTAACTAAGGAATAATTCGTAAAGAAATAGCCACAGACTTTGATTTCGTAGTTATTTTGCAAGTTTCGAAATCAGTCGTATACACAAATAACTACGATTAATCTTTTCGTCACAAGTTTCATTTTAGATTAACTTCAAAATTTTATTGTGTAGCAAATTTTCATAGCAAAATAACTATGGATTTCAATTTTGTAGCTAACTAGCTACAAATTTTGATTCCGTAACGAATTTTCTAGCCAAGTAGCTACGAATATGAATTCTATAACAAGTTTCATAACGAACTAGTTACAACCAAAAATTATGTAGCTTATTTTATAGTAAAATAGCTACGGGTTTCAATTTCGTAACAAGTATTCATGATTTAGCTACGGAATGCAATTTCGTAGCTATTTTCGCAGCAAATTAGCTACGACCAACCATTTTGTAGCATATTTCATAGTAGAATAGCGACGAATCTTGATTCCGTAGAAACTTTACGTAGCTATTTACGATTTAGCTATGGAATGCAATTTTGTAACCGTTTCCGTAGCATTATAGCCAGGGGCGGACCTAGGGGTGGTCCACGGTGGCACCGACAACCCCTAACTTTTCCGGCCGCAGTGGAAAATTTTCAAATTTTTTATTTTTTATACTACCGTGCAACCCCTAACTTTCCCGTGCAACCCCTACCGTAAAATCCTACGTCCGCCCCTGATTATAGCTACGACAAGTCATTTCGTAGCATATTCCGTACTAAAATTGCTACGGATTTTGATTCCGTAAAAATTTTCCGTAGCTATTCATGATTTTTCTTGTAGTGGTAGATCATCCGGCTAAGATTTAAAAAAAAAATGGCCATCGATGACTATTGTCGAGAAAACCGTAGTTACAATATGTCAAGGCTTGCTATAGTTAAGGACCTACTTTGGGTAGGTTTAAAGTTAGAAAATCATTTTTTAAAACGTGTGTTTGGTTAAGCTTGAAAAAAGAAAATTTTAATTTATTATTATTAGTTTGTATGGTTAAAATGAGTGTTTGAATAGACAGTTTTTTAAAAACAGTTTATAACGGTGTGGAACCAAATAAGTCATTTTTGATAAGTTACTCAATAAAATCTTTTTTGTGTAATTTTGTCTAACACTAAAAAATATTTATCAAACTTATAGTATTTTTGATACCGTATAAGGCTATAAGCTAATCCATATTTTTTTAACTTCGTTATAATACCGGTATAAGCTAATAAATTACAAAAACATTTCTTATCTCAAATAAACACTCCCAGACACCCCTTAATGTTCTTTTTTTTTCCCCAAAACATAAGAAATTTAAAAATGTGATAAACTGTATTGGATGGCGCACTCAGAGCATGTCCCAAAGCCCGTTACATTATTGGAAACTAATTATTTTCTCTCCACAATATATTCTCTTTCCTCACTTAGGGTCTTTAATTCCATCCGTAAGTATTGTGATAGGCTCTTTCTTTTTGTGATGTAATATTTTGCTGTATATGTATCCTCTGTATCCTCTGTAGAAAATATCAAAAAAAACCTTTGATATCACAATTCGTTTATGGTATCAGAGCGGGGTGATCCAAAATCAAAACACAAAGAAACCTTAATCGATAGTTCATATGGCTGGAGATGAGGCTTTGAAGAACAAAGATGAAGGAGAAACTATCAACCACAATTCTCCTTTTTACCTACACGCTTCCGACTATCCAAAACAGTTACATGTAAACGATACTCTTACCGACAAAAACTACGGCGATTGGGAACAGGAGATGATGAATTTTCTGTTCGCTAAAAACAAGATTGGATTCATTGATGGGTCGATAGAGATGCCAGAAAAAGGATCAGACAAATACCTACCATGGATGCGTTGCGATGCGATGATCAAAGGCTGGTTAACCACAGCCATGGAGAAAGAAATCCGCAACAGTGTGAAATACGCCAAAATTGCAGCTGAGATCTGGAGAGACTTGAAGGAGCGGTTTGGGAAGGAAAGCGCCCCCAAAGCATACGAACTGAAGCAGTCTCTAAATACCACCCGGCAAGATGGCATGACAGTTTCAGCATATTACACGAGACTACGGGTTTTGTGGGACGAAATCGAATCGATTTTGCCAACTCCCAAGTGTTCATGCAATGGATGCAAGTGTGAACTCGGAAGGAAGATGGTTGAATTAAAAGAAAAGGAAAGAATCTATGAGTTTTTGATGGGGCTTGATGATCAGTTCAGCGTCATTAAGACTCAAATTCTAGCAATGAAACCAACTCCAAACCTCAGCAATGTGTGTCATTTAGTTGCTGAAGATGAACAACAGCGCATCATTGGAGCATCAAAAGGACCGGTCCGTGAGGTGGCAGCCTTTTAGGCAAATTTTCAGGGAAGGCGAAACCAATATGAAAAGGATGGACGAAAGATGAATTCCCAGGTCAACAAAACAGCACACTGTAGTCATTGTGGAAAAGACGGGCATGATAAAGATGGGTGTTTTAAAAGAATTGGTTACCCGGAATGGTGGCTGGGAAAGGGCAAGGGAGATAAGTCAAGGCCAAAGGCTGCAATGGTAGAAACAAAAATATGTCCTATACCAGGCATGACAGAGGAGCAGTACGCAAGTTTCTTGAAATTATTTGAAGGAAGCAAAGTTGAACCTGCTGTGGCTAACATGGCAGGTAGGATGAAGGTCGATGATGACTGGGTTGTGGACTCGGGTGCAACTGAACACATAACATGCAAAGGACGCTTACTTCAAAACTTGAACATGAGCATGATTGAAAGGCCTGTCACAATCCCCAATGGAGAATCAATCCCAGTTAAAGGGAAAGACGATTTTCTTTTAAAGGAGGGATTAGATATTAAAGGAGTCCTTTATGTGCCAAACTTTACATGCAATCTTCTATCTGTACGAAGATTGACTAAAGATCTTAACTGTGCAGTGACGTTTTTCCCCGACTTTTTTGTTTTGCAGGATCTGAAGGCGGGGAACTTGATTGGAGCGGGTAACTGTCATGGTGGTCTATACCGAATGGGGGGAATAAAAGAAGAAAGGCGAGCAATGATGGTGACAATGGAATCATGGCACAAACGACTCGGACATGCCTCCAATGTTAAGTTATCGCATGTTAGTTTTCTTAAGGGTGCTTCCTTGAATTTTGAAGACAAAGTTTGTGATTCTTGTAATAAAGCTAAACTTACTCGATTGCCATTTCTGGTCAGCTATATTAAAACAAATAATTGTTTCGATTTAATCCACTGTGATGTTTGGGGCAAATACAGGAAACCATCACTTACGGGTGCAAATTATTTCCTAACAGTAGTTGATGATTTTAGTAGAACCGTGTGGGTTTATTTACTGAAACACAAACATGAGGCTAGTAATTGTTTAATTGATTTTTACAATATGGTCAAAACTCAATTTGGAAAGGGCATAAAAAGGATTAGGTGTGACAATGGTGGAGAGTTTGTGTCAAATTACATGAGACAATTCTACAGCAAGCAGGGAATTATCCTAGAAACAACTTGTCCTCATACCCCACAACAAAATGGGGTGGTTGAGCGAAAACATAGACACCTTTTGGAAATTGCACGTGCCCTACGTTTTGAAGCAAACCTTCCGACAATCTTTTGGGGGGAGTGCGTTCTAACGGCTGCTTATATAGTAAATCGGTTACCATCAAAAGTTATAAACAACAAAACTCCGTATGAAATCCTATTTGGGAGTCAACCTGAATACGATCACATGCGGGTTTTTGGTTGTTTGGTATACTACAAAAACGTTGAGGCCAATGGGGACAAGTTCGAGCCGAGAGGAAAACCGGGTGTGTTTATGGGTTATCCTCCAGGAAAAAGGGGATACAAAATTTACGATATACAACAAAGAAAGATGGTGATGACAAGAGATGTTAGATTTGTCGAGAACAT